TGGGCTACAAAGTGAGCTCAAGGCCGGCCTGAACTGCATAGCAAGACCCTGTCTCAAAAAGACAAAAAAACAAAAACAAAAACAAAAAGATTATAACCAGAAAATTCAGCAACTCGTCACTGATTTTTAAGTTTTAAAAAATCAGTACTGGGGATTGAACCCATGGCCTTCACACTGAGCTATATCCCCAGACTTTTTTTTTTTTTTTTTTTGAGACAGGGACTCACTAAGTTGCTGAATTGTCCAAGCTAGGCTCAAACTTGCAGTCTCCCTGCTTCACCCCCTCAGAGTGCTAGGTTTACAGGCCTTTGCTATTAGGTCCTGCTCAGAACTCTGTTAACTCAGGATGGGCTTCACAACAGAGAAGTGGATTCCCAAAAGGTCATCCCACCCCTTCTCTCCCCCTCCTTTTTAAAATACTGGGTATTAAGCCAAGCTATCACTCCAGCCCTTTTTAAAAATTTTGAGACAGGGTTTTGCTAACTCGCCGAGTTGTCCAGGCTGGGCCAAACTTGCAATCCTCCTGCCTCAACCTCTACGGTGCTGGGATTACAGACAAAGCATCACCATTCCTCACAGCCCCCCTTTTAAATGTGATCCCAAGAATCTTTAGACGTGTGATCAAAGCACAGGATACAGGTGTACATTTTTTGGTAAATTGTTAAACTTTTAGTATCTTTAAAATTCAGCGCGTCTTAACCCTGGGGGTGAATCCCAGAGAGGCTCGTTTCCTTCCTCCTCCTGTGGCTGCAGCTCTCCCCTCAAGTGAGTACTGGCACACACTGGTTTGGAATAGGATGCAAGGACACAGATAGTAATTGTTACGGGTAGCAGGAGGGTATGGGTCCAGTGGGCCTAGTTTGGAGTTAATAAAGTGTTCAAGATTTCTTTACAAGTTTTGCTTTCAAATCATCTCTGGACCCCTAATCCAAGGGTTCTCAATCTAATTTTTTTTTTAGTAACAAGTAATATAACTTTTCCATTACTATCCTGAAATAAAATTCACAGATAATACAACTTATTTAAATATATCTTAATTATAAAATAGAAATAAAATATTTGTTATAGAAGTGTTTAAAAATATATTTTCCAGAACATTTCCAGGCATGTACAAGCATTTTCCTTTTTTAGTCCATGGTGCCCTTGAACATAGTAAGTGCTCATCTTTCAGACAAGGGAAAACAGAGTCTAAAAGGTATGAAAATCCCATCATGACAGCGTCCACAGTGTGCATGTTTACTAGAAGGTATGACAGTGTCACATGCTTAAACCTGTACAGAATTACTGTGCGATACTACATATGCAGAAATATTTGTGTTAGCAACTCAGATCCTAAGTAATTCTCATTTGCTAAGGGAGTTTTCTGAAATGAGCAATTTTTAGTAATGTTCTGAACAAAAAATATGAGATTCTTTTGATTAAACAGTAGCTGGAATCTTAGAAAACAGACATGAAAACCTTGGCAGGGGTGGAGGGTACCTTTTAATCTGTAGAACGAATTAAGATTGTAACTTTGATTTTTATTGTGTGGGACCAATCCACACACATGGCAGGACATTTAGCATCCCTAGTTTCTTCCCATCCATGATTTTGTGACAAAAGTGTCTCAGTGAATTCCTAAGGCATCCTCCTAAAGACTGGTACTGCTGCCATTCAGAATAAGAGTCTTTCTGACAACTCCGGCAGTTGTGCAAAGACAGCACCATTCTGTCTCCTCTATCAGGGAAGACCCATCCAGGTGCCTGTAGGGGTGTCAGCCTTTTTCTATCCTGAGGTTAGGAAAGGCCATGGGTTGTCTCCTGTAGTAAGTCACACAATTTTTAGTGCAGAGCAGGCTGTCCCCATACACCATTTTAAATGCTCTTTAATTATGCTCTGGTAAATTGTAGCCTCAAAACAGAGATCTGGGCTTTTAAAAGGCAATGTTTTGTGACTGGTGATATAGCTCAGTGGTACAGCGCTTGCCTAGCTGGGTTCAATCCTCAGCACTGTCTGTCTCCCCAAAAAGGCAATGTTTTGAAGCAGTACTCTTGTAAAGGAGTATTATTCAAACTGGTTCAGGGTGGACAGTCTGTGGAATCAGGGCCACATGAAGTCTCTAATCCTTGCTCTGTTAAATTTGTGCTTTAAAAAATGCTTTCTTTCACACGTATCACCTACCCAGTACCTCAAATAACTTGAGGGGCACAACTAACGGTATTTAAGACAATTTAAAGAAGAACTGACAATAAAACCTGGAACATAAAATAGAGGCAGGGATTAGACAGACACCTTAAACCATCTTTGCTAGGAGACGCAAAAATTACTTTTTAGCGCCAGATAGGTGGTAGTATGCATTCCAAAACATGTTAGTTTTTCCTGTGGAGGTGGCTTAATTTAAAGGTCATGGAAACTTTCAAACTAGATAAAATATTCTTTCTCTGTAAGTTTGCAGTCTTTTCAAAATTTCTTGTCCACTTATACTGTCTTTTAATATGAAATACATACTTGGTTTAAAAAAACAAAACACCAAAACATAGCAACACTCTCTGATCCCAAAGCACTGAAGAGCAAATTTCGTTTGTTTTTTCCAGAACATTACCAGGCACGTAAAAGGATTTTTTTTTAGCTCAAGGTGCCTTTGAACGTAGTAGGCGCTCATCACCTTTCACACTTAAAAGGCTCAAAAGCTTGGAACTCCCGTTATGACAATGTACAGATGCCACGCCTTCTGTTCTTAAGTGCGCCCTGAGCTTAGATTGCCTCAGGACAGAGTCAAATTTCCCGCTTCGCCAGGGAAAGAACAGCGCTTGCGCAACGCGGGTTGGTCCCGCCCTCCGCCGGAAGTGACTGGCAAAATGGGAACGGCGCCCGCAGCGCTTCCGGCCGAGGGGGTGCGGCGTGGTGAGGATCCCCGGAACCAGAACTTCCTGCGCTACGGAAGTGGTTCTCCCGGCCCGAGGCGGGATCTGAAGCCTCGTGGGAGGTTCCAGCCTACAGAGGCCCTGTAGCCCTTCCCTTTGTAGCGCAGGCGGACTCCACTCTTCTGCGGCTGGTGGAGCTCGCTTCCGGCTGGTTTTGGCCCCAGGGGCCTACTGCTCCGGTGCTGCACTCACTGGGGTTAAAATAACCCACAACCTGAGAACCAACTGCTCACTGGGATTAGAACGTCTACGTGAATTGAAAATTTAAATTTGACCAGTTTAACTGGAGTGTAGACATTTCCGACAGATCCTAAATTATACCGGAAGCTCAGACTTGCATGAAAAACTACTTTTAAATATACACACTAGGTGAGGAATTATATTTACAATTTTTAATTTAAAAAAAGTCAACTCAGGCTAAGTAGTATCATTTGTCGCAATTACTTTAAAAGATTTATGTGCAAAAGCTCGTAGCCCATCTGATACAGTGCTCCTTCCCACATTTGGGAGGATCTCATCAACCTTGCGAATTAGACACTGAAGATAGTGGCAGTGTGAGCCTGAAAATGCCAGTTCATTGCACCGAACAAGTCTGGAGTGTGGGTCTTACTCTGTAAGCCAAGCAGTGGCACCTGTCGTTCTGAACGGGAACACGAAAATGTTAGCTTGTCTAGTCCCACATACACAGCTGACCTCCCTAGGTTGGATAGGGTGGCATCTGGGGACATTTCCCATTTACAGTATTAGTGACTAATGTACTTAATACCTTTCTGGATTGCCTCCCCCAATCCGGTTTCAACTGTGAAAGTGTAAATGTGCCTTCCATTAACACCACACGCTTCCACGTCTAACCATTTTGTGGTCTGCTCTTTACAAACTCAGTAACCAAACCCTGTCCCTACCTTTTGGATCCTGCTTCTCCACTCTCATTTTCTTGGTCCTGCCTCCAGCCTCCCACAAGCCCAGTCTCTGAACTAGTCTGCAGAGTAATCGCTCTGTAGGAAATACCCTAAAACTCATCCATGTCGATATCCCTTCTGCTTGGACCACTTTCTGACAGACATAAGGGTTAAATGATATCTGCTGCCTTAATAGTTCATTGTCAAACACAAAGGCTAAGTGTGTACTTTCCATTTCACTTCAGCTACACAATTCTCCAGCAGGCATTTTAAGCTAAAATTTCAAGAAATTGGACTAGCCCTTAAGTTACACAACCTCTGGGTAAAAAGTGATTTAGCAGGATCAGTCTCAACTACCTAATGAAGTTGGGTATGCTGAGGCACATCTGTATCCCAACACTCTGGGAGTATCCAAAGCAGGAGGATCACAGGTTGAAGCCCAGCATGGATAATTTACTAAAAACGGGTTGAAGGTGCAGCAGTGTCAATGCACTGGGTTCAACCGGTAGTACTGTGCAACCCAAATCTCAGCGCAGTGCCTATTTTTCTACCTTTCTTCATTAGAACATTATAAAGACGCAAATCCAGTCCAACTGAACAGTTTTCCTGACTGTTGTGTAGCTCTCTATTGTTATCCAACCTAATTCATTTTTCTACCCTGTGCTTCCTTGTATCTGATCTTCAACATCCTTTTAAAGTGGTTTGTCCTGTAAGTCAAGGTTCCAGCCCACCCTCCAACTGAAACCCATTGTATGACACCTTTATTATTTCTTTGCACAGGACACCAGACTGCTAAGTTTCACTTAGAATCAAAAAAAGTAGAAAAGAGCTATAAAAACCATACAAGTTTAAAAGTCTCACTGTACAGACCTATGTGTTAAAAGTCTTAACTTGGTATATTCTGGTTGTACCTGGGATGGTTCAGTCCAAGATAACTAAAATCTTTGAAGCCCCACAGAACAGTTAAGGGCACTTTCTCCTACTTGCTATAAAACCCAGAATAATGCTAACAAGGCTTCTGACATGTACGCCAGCAATTACTCCCACCAAATGAAAAGGTTTCACTGGTGCTATCTCTTTGATGTACTTTAAGGGGAATCAGCACAACAGTTCATGCCCTTAATATTCTTGGTACTTGTTAGATGGGTTCCCAACATAGAAGTGGAGATGATAAAGAACCTATACTCCGAACAAAAAATGAAAACCATTTGTTAGCATTTTAATGAGCCCTGTCCTATGGATTCAAGCTACCAGGACACAGGCCCCCCCAACACCCTTAATCTTCTCTTCAGCTCTTCTGCTGAAAAATTTGGCTTTCACGATGACAGGCTGCTTTGGGAGTTTTCCCTTTCCAAGAACTTTGTAGTAGCCCTAGAAGAATTAAAAAAAAAAAAAATAAGGATTTAAACATACTATATCAGGTTATCAACTCCTGACAGGTTATCAGCTCCTGACAGGACTGAAGAGATGCCTGTCAATCCAAACTTTCTAGGACCCACATAGGCTGGACACTACTGGCCTCCACCAGTGAATCAAGGCCAGCATATTCCCTGAGAACTCTAGCACACTAGGACAAATTTAACTGTAGTCTCAGCAAAGCACACCCTCTCCCTCCTGGTCACCCAACACTCTTTAAAAAAGCACAATCACATTCCCAGCAATGCCTAAGTCTTGACCACCAATATTGCTTAGAGGGCATTAAATAGGTGAGAAACTGAGATTCAAAGCCAACCCTAAGGTTTAGGTCTCTTTTAAAGGTTACCTCCATATTCATGGGACATAAATCTGACATAAGACCACAACCATCAAAGATATACAAGTTTGTTTTCTGAGGAAATCTCTTCAAGTAATGTATGGCCCCAAATAACATTAGAATTTTATTCTATAAGGACCATGAGCTTCACCTCAAGACCAGAGCCAGTTACAGCTCAAACCAAGAAATGTAAACCTGTTAGAATCAGGGCAGTGACATTAGAAACTGATTACAGGTTGGAAGGACAGTCAGTGAAAACGTTGTGATATAAATGGGGGATGAAAACTTCTCCAAAGATTTTGCCAGAAACACAAGAAAACCATTTGATGGATCTGTATACTTTTCAATTTTCACTTAAGAGGGAAAACAGGAACAAGACAGGCAGGGGAGTGAGGAATAGTTCCATTTATGTCTAACTCACTTACCGATCGCACTACATCAATGATGGGAGCTACTCCAGTCTTGTTTTTGGCAGCATTTACTCGTGTCTGCTCACTGACCAATGTCCACAATTTATCAAGGTTGACAGTTGGGCAGAAGCTCTGGTTTCTTTTTAAGTGGTAATGCCTCATACCAACCTTCCCAAAGTAACCCGGGTGACTGGGAAGAGAAAGCAACGACCTTCATAACTTCACTCCAAATAAGCTATGTTTATAATCTTTGCAATCATCTCCCTCCACTGCAGTGTAAACTGTTCACTGGTACAGAAGTGACCGGCACTTGCAGCAACTTGACACATTTATTCAATTACACAGATCTTTAGAAAGCACCACAGGCTGGAAGGAACCAGTGTTTCTGTGCAAGCCACCTGACAGCATTCCATGTAAAATCGACCCGTTTTTGTTAAGATGTACAATTGATATAAGTGAACGAATCTAACAGTTGTGTAGGTCAATGCAAAACATGTTGCTACCCTGGTGACTGACTGTGCCACGAAGCCCACAGCCAGTGAATAAGGTCAGCAGTTACTCTTCGAGGACTCTAGCACACTGAGGCAATAGCCAATACCCAAGCGTGACTCTAGCCTCGATGACAGGTTCTCAGTTCACATCAAATAGCTTGGTAAAAGCAAGCAACAGGCAAGGTTTTTAAGAGGTTTGTTTCCACAGAAATTCTAGGTTATCCTTGTCTGCCACTACTCCCAGGTTATGGCACTCAAAGTATAATCCAAGGAACACTCACTATTTGTCGAAGTTGATCCTGTGGTGATGCATGCCACCAGCATTACCCCGGCCTCCCGGGTGCTTCCGGTGCTTGCCTGCAGAAATACAAAGCTACACGGCTAGCATAGCTTTCTCCAGCCCCTCAACAGGACCTTGAGCAAAAGCGGAGGACTTCCCCATGCTTCTGTGCCCTTGCTTTGGCCCACAATACCACCCTCTTTCAACATTACCATTGCTTCAGGATTCCAAGTTAAAGCACCTTTTCCGCGTTCCACGTTACAGCCCTCCTGTCTTCAACTAACACCGCGCTCTTTAACGTTTTTTATTGCCCTGATAAATTCTCCCAACTTGCAATCCCCGAGCACAGCAAAGAGAAAAGAAAAAAATAAAGCTGCCCAGTTCAGTCCAACTGGATGCAGAGCTCTTACTGGAGCTGAGGCTTAAGCTCCCTGCCTCCCGACTAACCACTCGATACACACACCGGGAGAAGGCGGCACTTACCGATGCGGCCATGGCCGTGGCTCACGTGGCCCCGAAGCTTCCGGGTCTTCCTTAGTCTGGATGGCTGTGTGGGAAAAGCTGCTTAGCGACACGGCCTAAGGAGTGCCGGAGCCAATGCCCGCCAGTCAGCTGGGCCCGCAGGCCTCCACACTGACGCCTGGCGCGTTCGGCAAGGCTGAGCCTAGCGACCGGCCCGAGCCCGCACGGCCTGCTCAGGGCGGCGCGCGCCGAACAAGAGGCCGCGGACTCCGCGCCGCAGGCCCACGCCGACCACCCTGCCCCGCAATCGGCCACATGCAGCCTGGAAGGCCTGGCTAAAGTCAAACGTAGGTGGCCGAGAGGCAACGGGAGCAGAGCACCGCGCCACCACCACTAACGAAGCAGACGCAAGTAAAAAGACACCTACCATGTCGGCGGCCGAGACGAAAGAGAGAGATTCTGTGAAGTCTCGCGAGGTATCGAGTTCGGGGGCGGGACCAAGGTGTCTCACTTCCGGCCGGGGGCTGGCCTTGGGCGGGGCGTCTTTGGTCTCGCGAGTTTCTGACTTGCCCCAGTTATTGCCTTTTGTGCATATGATTTGCTTTTCACCATTGAGTTGAGGTGGTCTGTGCGAACTGTCAGGCAGGCACTACATAGGCCCCGCTGTGCCCAGTTGTGTGAAGCTCTTGGTCGCTTTGTCTCTACCACCTCCAGGATCTGTCTCCCACCGTCCTGAGTGGGCGCTCTGCTTTCCTTTTTCCTTTGCCCGTGGGATATCACGGGCGTCTCTCCAAGTTTTAACAGCTGCTGTGCTTCAGGGACCTAGACCCCGTAAATACTTTATAACTGCCACATTCACATTTTCCCTAGAACTTGGTTCGGACGCACCTGACTCTTCCCTGTCCCGTGCCAGAGAGCCCCTGCCCAACCTGCACCCGAACCAGGCGTTTCCTCTGTGAAACCTCCGGACCCCTTCATTCGCAGATGCTCGCTTGTTCACGGTGCCACCCCACAATCTAGTACACGCCTCATATAATTAAGTTATATTTGTCTTCCTTACTAGACCAAGTTCTTTCAGGGCTCAGAGAGCTTTGTATTTACTACAGGCAATTGTAGTTGGTGGCATGTGGTACGTATTTAAGAAGTGAGCATTTCTTCAGTAGTAGAAAAGGCATCCTTCCGTTTAGTCGGTTCCTCCAACCAGTGTTCAAGATCCTATCCCCTCAAATTACTCTCTTCCTGTGAGTGAGTGTATTTTTCTGTGACTTACTCTTCAGTTAATGTATATTCTAGCTAAATATTCTAAATTCTCCCTGTCTGCTACCCTTGGTCTTTCTTATACAGTCAGCTCCCCAAAAGAGTAGTCCACAATCCTGCCCATTTGCTAGCTTTCTGTTCACTGTTAAATCCACTGCAATCCACTGTTCACTGTTAAATCCACTGCAATCCACTGTTCACTGTTAAATCCACTGCAATC